AATAACATTACACATATATCAAATAAAATAGTGAGTTATTTGCACCCTTCAGTTATGAATTATTATATTATACATTTAGACATTTAATTTTACAAAACTGCATAAAACAGAATAAGAATAATTTTTTTTAATTTTGATGTGACTTGACTGTTTCGCCTCAAAAAGAAATTAATTAATAATTGATAATAAAAGAAAAGATCTTTTCAGCTACCTGGATAATTCCAACCCAATAGAACATAAGTTTATTTGACTGATGTTAAGAAATGTTTTGGTTGGCTTAATCCAGCTATATGTTTTAAGGAAAATGCCATTTATGTGAATCCATAGTTTGCACTGCATGCTTCCTCTAGATTTTACAAATGTCTTAGTTGGTTAAATCCAGCCATGTGTTAAGGACAATGATATCAATGTGATTCCATCAATTTCACTGCATGTTTCCTGAGTAGTTGATTAAATTTTTAAATTTTTAGTTGAGCAGCAAAAAATTAAATATAACAACTTCAAAATATATTTGGTTGTAGCTAGATGGACTCAATGCAATGCCAATACTTTGTGTAATTCTTTATTAAAGTAGTTGAAATATGCACTAGGTCATTAAATATTATTATTTCAATCATTAAGAATTGAATGCTTCTTTTTGTAACTTCATTGGGGTGTAAAAGCGTTGACCAAAGTACATTTTGTTTGAAGCACTTCATTCTAAAAATGTGTGCACGGTCAACGCTTTTACAACCCTATGAAGTTACAAAAAGAAGCATTCAATACTTATAATTACATTTTTTAGCTAGGATCATAAAAACATGATTTTTATCAAGTTTTTGTTTAATTTACCTGTGCACTTTATTGTGGGACCTCGTGTCATCATGAATGATAAATTTTATTGTGTAATAAAGTTGATTAAGGAATAATGCGAGATTGCAGTGTAGACAATCAGAATAATGTATTATAATGAAACATACATCAAATGTAATTATGTACAAATGATTTGTAAATTTTGATGGCTAGTTGGATAGACCTTTTTGTTTGGACCTTTAATTACACTTAAATTTTGCAGTTTACATTTTTATTTTCAAGATGTTCAGTGACTGGAAGCATTGTAGGATCTAATGTACACATACATGAGAAATGTGAGATTAAAGACTGTATTGTTGGAGCAGGACAGTCATTAAATGCCATGGGTGAGTGGTTAATATTTCTTATTTGTTTAGGTGTAAACACCATTTTTGTCACGCCTTGACGGATTTTGTCTCGCCTTGACGGATTCGAAAAGCGAGACTTAGGTATGCTATTTCAAACGGCATTGGCGGCAGTCAACAATGTATCAGTTTGTGATTAAGTCAGTTTATGGGGAACCACTTGTAGTAAGTCAATGATATTTGGTATGCATTAGTATAAGCATTGGCATATCTCATTTCCATGGAGATTATTTTGCCCCGCCCCTTCACTCAGTCATGGTCTATTGACTTTGAAACTTTTGCATACTTTCCATGTATTAGTTTGTGATTAGGTCAGTTTATGGGGAACCAATAGTGGTAGGTCAATGATATTTGGTATGCAGTTGTATTAGCATTGGCACATCTTTTTTTTATGGAGATTATTCGGCCCTGCCCCCTCAGTCATGGTCTATTGACTTTGAAACTTTTGTTTAGTTTATATGTATTAGTTTGTGATTAGGTCAGTTTAAGGGGGACCACTTGTGGTAGCTCAATGGTGTATGTATATGCATTAGCATTTGCACATCTCATTTGCATGGAGATTATTTGGCTCTGCCCCCTCAGTCATGGTCTATTGACTTTGAATGTTTTCATAGTTTACTGTTTAAATATTGCCACTTGGATTCAATATTTGCATTATACTACCAAAACTACAAAAAGGCAAGACATATCTCTGTGTCAACAGTTTATTTACAGTGAAAACTGAACTGCAAGTACTGTATGAAAATTCAGATAATTTTAACTAATTGATTACAGAGTATAGATATTTCCACTTAAAAGCAAAACATTGTATTCAGTTCTACCAATGATTTTGTAATATTTAGTTTACAATTATAAAAGCAGTTTTTCTCTTTACATATTTTACAGTAGATTCTTTAAAGAATTGAAAAATTTTAAATTGCATTTTAATATTAAATTCTTGTTTTTTTTCAGGACAATTTACAAATGAAGCAATAGTAGATATAGACAAAATGATGGAGATATAGTGATATACACTTTATAAGTATAATAAAATCAAATTGCAAAGTGAAATCTTTCCTAACCTAAGCAGTGTCTTAAAGCTACATATTCATGAAAAGGAAGTTCATTTCTTGTGTGATTAATGTTTTACAGCAGCGTAAGACAACAATGCCTGAAATGTTCAGAATTATGAGAAATATCTCAACAACAGTAAGCAATATTATTGTCCAGTGCTGTGGAAATTATTTTCAATGAAAAAGACTAGTGCACTATACTTTCCAAAATATAAAAATTAGATTTCACCCATTAATTTATTATGGTGAAATAAAATGAGGAAGGTTAAATGGGAAATCACCTTGTTTGTTAAACCTTTGACGGTTTAAACTCTAGCATATGTAATAAACTATATGAAGATGATTTTTATTTTCAATTTTCCAAATGGTTTGTTTGGCTGAAACCAGAGTCTGTATTAACAAGGGTTCTTTTCTCTAGACAAACAATCTTTTTTCAACTTTAATAAAAACAAAAATTTAATAACATACAGGAACAAGAATTCTTTTTCAAAATATCAAATCTGATTTTATTTTTTATACTGTTGCTCCAAAGGAGGGTCTTTTTATACACTGGTTGACCTCTGTTCATCTTGTCGTCCTTGTGCCTCATTGTTTAATTTTCCCAGGAACTTTGTGTATAATCCCAAATAGTTAAGCTGTAACTTGCATTGATAGGCTGGTTTTTTTAGATATTTGACCTTAATTATACCCCCGCTTTAAAAAAGGGGGGTATACTGTTTTACCTCTGTCTGTCCTTTCATCAGTCCATCCGTCCGTCCCATGAATATTTTCGTCGCATTTTTCTCAAGAACTACTTGACAAGGATTTCTGAAATTTGGTTTCAGGGTTTATATAAGTAAGTAAAACTGTGTGATGCGTTTTCAGATTCATCACTCAACAACTTCCTGTTTACCGAACACTTGTATTATTTTACACATGATAGCCAAGTTGAAAATTTTTGCACCTTTTTCTCAGGAACTACTTGACAAGGATTTCTGAAATTTGGTTTCAGGGTTTATATAAGTAAGTTACACCATGTGATGCGTTTTCAGATTCATCACTTAACAACTTCCTGTTTACCGAACACTTGTATTATTTTACACATGATAGCCAAGTTGAAAATTTTCCTCACATTTTTCTCAGGAACTACTTGACAAGGATTTCTGAAATTTGGTTTCAGGGTTTATATAAGTCAGCTTTACCGTGTGATGCGTTTTCAGGTTAATCACTCAACAACTTCCTGTCTACCGAAATATTACGGCAGGGGTATCATCAGTGAGCAGTAGCTCACAGTTTTACTTATTTTATTTTATACCCCCTGCAAAAAGGGGTGTAAAGGAATAAACCTGTCCTTTCTGTTTGTCTGTCTATCAATGTGCCTTGTAATAGCAACTCCTCCTTAACGGCTAGACAGATATTGATGACACTTTACACAGTTATACAACACTACCTGATAATGTGCATAAAGGAATATAATCATGGTCCTACAAATTAAAGGGGAGATAATCAAAGTTCACTACCTTCCATATTGCAATGTGTTATAAGTGCAACTTCTCCTAAAAGGCTGGACAGATATCGATGAAACTTTACACAGTTGTAGAACACTACCTAAGGATGTGCTTGATATAATATAATCCCAGTCCCACATGTTTAAGGGGAGATAATCAAATTAACTTACTTCAATATTGCAAGCGCAATATGTGGTAATAGTTACTCACAAGTGAAGCTAGCATCTTGGGGATGTGCATAACAGAATATTATCCGTGTCTTACATGTTAAAGGGGAGATAATAAATAAACTGATTAATAGTATTTTAAAGAGATGGGGTATCCTTTTTGGAGTTCACCCACATTTCTAGTTTTGGTCTAAAAAGTTTTAATAAATTAAACTTTCCTATATGTAAACATATACATGCACATTTAACCTTATCACATGGGCTTAGTAAAGTTGCCAATTTACTCATATGCTAAACTGTGAAAAGAAAGTTAAAGTGTGTCTATGGTTTCTATTGCCTATTAAATATATTCAGCATTTAAGTAGGTTCTCAGGTAGCAAGTTGCCGCTAACATGATATGCAGATGAATCCATCTAGGAGAAACCTACCATATGCCACATTATGAAGTTCAAATGACACAATTTCTGCCTTTTTGATTTGCCTTTAGCTTTTCACTGGTCTATGGTTAAATTTTACATCAGTATTCAGTATTAAACATTTAACAGAGACTTACAACATTTACTTTGATTCAGTTTATGCATCTGAGTGTTATATGCAGATTCAGGTGAAAATTGTTGGCACAGAAAACCACAAATAAACTTCTTTGATTGTTGTATGACCTGAGTGATAAATTGATCGTAGCTATTATAGTATAATTGAAGAAAAAACTTAATTTAAACTGTTATGCTCCTGGAAGATTGATCCTTGCTTCAAATTACATAATTGTAGGTCATCAAGTACATCTGAGGATATAACTTATTGAATATTAAAACTGGAATTTAACACTAAATTTTCATTTGATAAAGCAAAATATTCATTGCATATTTTAGTTGAGCACTGCCAGAGACTTCCTTTCATCAAGGTAAATGATTATTAATTTAGGTCCTGTGAATGTTATCTATGCAAGTTTTATTTTATTTTAGAAAGGTGAAGTTATCTGACATTGAACATAGCTCTCTCAAATACATGCATCCAAGAATCATATATAATTCACATATCTTTTGTGTGACAGTGTCCAGGACACCAGCGAGAAATATCTTTTAAAAACAAGTGCAAATAAAGAATTGTAAATATTTTTATTGAAAATAAAACAAAGTATCTCAAAATTTAAAGGTACAAACAATTATTCAAAGTAACAAAAATAAAAGGAGTATGGTCAAGTTGGCAGCTAAAAATATAAGTATCGAAATCAGACTGAAGCAGCAACTTTTATGCATCTTGTATTGCTACATAGAAGGCAATTAGAAATTTCTAAACTCAACTCAGTAGTTTCCACATTAAAGGCTTACATTTCTATGCATATGAAAGAAAACAAAAAAATAAAAAATTGGACTTTCAAATGCAAAAATCTTTAAATTATTATCAAAGTTGTAACTTAAAACTGTACAATAAATCTTATATAATATAAGATACTAAAAACATAATCAGAATCGCATATGTATGAAAAGAGAACCCAACATCCAAAGTTAATATGTATAAGAAAACAACTATAATTTATCCCTCACCTAAAAGTAAATGATATTTGGCACTTATCTATCAGCATTACAACATGAAAGTGTATCATTTTTGTGATATTTCAGTTGGCAATAAGCTTTTCAACAATCAAAATAATGAAGGAAAATAAAAAAAATGAACAGATACACTGTTATTCTACAGAAATCAGAAAAATCCACTGTCACAATATGTTGTGACAAAAGGGGTTTAACAATTGCAGAAGTGACACCATATTGTGTTGCCATAGTAACACAATGTGATAGAGAACCAACCATCTCTTTATTAATTTAAAATTCTCATACTCATACCAAGTCCAGTGATGTCAACGTCATTATTTTCCTTTCAGGATCTAAGGTATTCTTGGTCAAATTTTCGAAAGAGTTCACTAAAACATTGTGATGGTTCAAAGAGCCCTAAAATGCATATTTAATCAATGGGTAAGACCATTTGATATCAAGTAATTTGTCAAACCCTTCTACTCGTATCATGTGTATTGGAAATTCCAACACTTGTGTATATTTTCGGTGTAATGGGCATTCATTTATGTGCTTAACATATAAATTTTAAAATAAATTTCTCAGTCAATATTTCCATGCTCTAATAACTAGGAAGAATAAGGCAGTGATTAGCTAAAGGTGGTCTCCATTTGGCACCATTATTGTTCAGGCAAAAATTCTTAAATGTCAGTGAGTCTTTATTTTTTCCATTGTTTCCTTTAACCTCAAGGTACATTCCTAAAAAAATAGAAAAGTTTTATAATTATTTTAAGTAAATCAATGACTTTATAGTTTAAACAATACAAATCAGGAAGTATAGCATTTTAAAAATGTATAAATCCAATGTCATGGACTAAGGGTGAAATCAGACTACCTAAAACTGAAATGAATGGATGCTGCTAAAACAGCATACTATATAGTAAGGGCAGTTCCAGAATAAAATGCAGTGGGACATGGAAGGCACTTTTTTAAGACCCTGACCACTCATAAAATAAAAATATTCGTTTTAATTATAATTCTTACAAAATTAAAAGGAAAATGAAAACACCCCTGAGTGCCTCCTATCCCCACACAAGATAAATTTTGGAATATAATAGCATATCATAAATAAAAATTCTCTTTTTGATTTGTAAACAAACCTTTTGTCTGCTCTATGGTCGGGTTGTTGTCTCTTTGACACATTCCCCATTTCCATTCTCAATTTTATTACTTTTCTGGAAACTTTACATTTGAACTGCAGCATGACTAAGGGGTGCATGTGTGTTAAACATTATACATATACTGCATGCATTGATGCTATTAAAACTATATTAAATTAACGATGGTACATCATAATCATACATATTCTTTCTGAGATAGATCAAGTCTGAGGACTTAAGATTTGGTGTTTACAAAGGCAAGAAAAGTAACACATATTACAATACTTGGGGACATTAATGGCAGACAAAACTATACTAATCACTTGGTTTGTGTTGGCTTACCTAATTCACTTCTTGGAGGTAGAGATATACTACGTGTCCAGTCTGGTTCTTCAATTTCTAATAAATCTCTTATACTTTTGGCAATCATCTGAAATTGATATTTTTAGAAAACTGTTACCATAATGCAAGTTAACTTATATAAGAAAACATATTTCACATAAAGGTACCAAATTGTATATTTATTTAAGTATATACTGATGTTCTAATAATCAGCTGATCTTTTTCATGTAAAACTGAAGTTATATATTTATAAAAGTCTTAATAATATTTCCTTTGATCTTTTATTGTGATGAATTTTCATATCATGCTACTCGCTTGAGATAGAAAATTATTGTCAGAAATTAAGGGCACACGATCGTGAGCTGTTGTCAATGTAATCATCAACGACGTCATAGGCAAAATAGCGATAAACAGATTATCAATGGTCTTTCAAACTCGAGGCTATTTCTCGGCCACATTTCATTATGGGATGATGAGATTGAAGCTGAGATACACCCTCTCTTTTGAAAAACCATCGATAATCTGGATTTCATCTCAAATATCATCAATTTATGTTTTGACATTATAAAATCAAAGTACCAGTAAAGATGACATTACAAAAACTTAGTACCAGTATATGTATATTAAGATATACAAATTTTTTGTTCACAAAATTTGACTATTGAAATTGATGATCAATAATCGTTTATCACAGCATTCTATATTTCCAGTCTGTTTACCTTTATATGTTCAAAATCAGTAATGCCGATATTAGGAAAGGCTGATGCTTCTATTAGTATTAATTTCCGTCCATTTATCATATTCTGTTTAAAACATTCCTGCAAATAATAATTGATGCATAATTAAATATGCAATATACAAACATGACATATCCAATAATAAAAGAAAAGATAGCTAAAATTTATAAGCATCAAATTGTTTTCAATTTTTATGCTCTGCCATGCACATTTTGTTTTGGCATTTACTTTAAGTTAACCTTTTTGTTCAGGTAAAATTCTCTGAAACAAATAGTAATACAATGTATGTCAATGATATTTCACCACTCTTGTGAAGAACAACATTGTTCATGAATATTTAGGTCTTTATTCCCTATGCTACATGTTTCAGTGACTTTGGTTACCGGTAAGCCTTTGGCGTATACAGGTCCATTTCTAAGAAATCTATGCACCTACATGTATGTATAAATATTTCACTAGTACAATTCTCTTGTACAATGTATGAGACACACTTAGTAGAGAGTGACTTTCTTTTAGGTTTTTTATTTCTCAGAAACTTGAAATATATCACAAGTCTTTTGTATATCAGTCATCTTGGAATCAAATCAACAGGAGTTATCTTTCTTTACCATTGGTTAATTTTCTTTATTATGGCCAAGTAAGAAATCTATAGATAATATTTTTAATCAGAGTTACATGTAACCCCTTTTGAAAAACAATACCAAATATTATTTGTAGCCGTCTTGTGTATTTAAGTAAGAATGGATACTAGTGTGCACTATAAACAAGACTGGAACACTAATTAATTTAACTGAAAACACCAAACAAATCAGGGAAAATATATTAAACAATTGTACTTATGTACTTAAGCTTCAATAAAAAAAAAAACCAGAACACTGGAATAAAAGTAGTCTGGCACTGCGGTAGTTAGGGTAAACAAAGGCGGTGCATTTTTAGTCTAATTTTAAAGAACTGCTAAAACACAGAAAACCAGAAATTTGGGAAATCAGTATATAAAAATCTTAAAATTTATGTAATGCATTTTATATGATCATGTATTTATGTAGTAGATTTCATGAACCTAAAGGCTAAAGCTAAAATATGTCATGAAAACAAAAATGAAATTATTATCAGTTTTTTTTTTGTTTTATGAATTTATTAAAGCGTACATGTAGGTGCTCAGAAACATCAGACAGCTCCATCCCAAGTATTGGTCAAGGAAGTCTTTAATTATAAAGTCTTTACTCTGTATCAATACACCTTATCGCTATTTAGTCCAATCCGGAAAAAACAGTCATTTAGACAACTTCCTGTTTGGGTCAACAGGCCGCAAACAAAGGTCATCAGTAACGAGCTGAGGGAGGGAAAAATTTAGAAAGCGATCAATAGGAAACTTTGATAGATTATGATCCACTTTTTCCAAACTCAAATTATAGTCAAAAAAATATTGTGTTTGAAGTATTTACGATGTTTTAAACAGGTCTCATCAAAAAGTATCATGCATGGTGCATTGTTTAAACAGGGTCCCAGATAGCGTCAACTGGATGAAAAAGTTGTGTAATTTTAGAACTTTTCCGGAATGGAATAAATAGCGATTAGGTGTATGACAATAAATACACAATTACAAACATGACATTTGACATACAGGTATGGGGTAGGGTAAGAGTTTAGTATAGCTGTATATGGGTTGGGACCCCTGAAGTAAAATAAGGACTATAAAAGCATAGCACAAACGTTAACGTTAACTAGAAAAGCACTATTATTAGGTTACATTGTCAATCATAATTTGTCATTGATGAAGAGTTACACGACATTGATGGTCACATCAGTTTGCTTACTTTGTAATTTGGGAAGCCCAATTCTTCTATCCAATCTGATACTTGTTCTACAGTCCAATATAAGCATGCAGGTACTTTTTCATCTTTCAAATCCTCAACGGCACTTTGCATGGCAGCCATGATGTAAACGTCTCCATGGGATAAATCACGTGACAATATGGGGTTATCGTTCTTAGAGCACATATGAGGATACTCTTTTTTTTAAACTGAGACTCAGTAATACCAGAGACATATAGTACATTGTGTATTATATGTCTCTGGAAATATATTATAAATATAATTTTTACATGTTTTTGAACAATTTACATCGGAAGACGTCTCTTTCCAAAATAAGTTTACACGTATCCGAAAGACAAAATTAAATAGTTACGTTTTGCAACAGACCGAATTGGGGTTTGTGAGTCCCAGCATAGACTCTCAGCATAGACATCTAACGTTATGGTCACATGCAGATCTACAAATAAAATAAAGGGCCAATACTTTATTTTGTGGTATTAATGTACGATTGCTACTGTCTGTAGCGATCTTCATAAACAAATATGTATTTATACGATGTTAATTTTTAACATAAAAAAAATTAAAACCTGGGACCAATTATAGTATAATCAAAAATCTATAAAAATTATATCGGATAAAACTAAAAAATTCAATGGAGATTACTGAAAACAAGGATAGTATTATATGTCTCTGTTTGTATAGAGATTATTATACAGTACAAATACTTGTGTAAATATAAAATACAAATCAAGAATGTTAAATCAGAATACTGTCACGAATTATTCTAGAAGAATACCGAAACATTTTAAAATTATAGGTTACCAGCATTGAGCATATAAAATAGAGGCTCATGAAAACCCGCTGCACCATTCACTGACAATGCAAACACATGACAATATTGACAAATAATGAAATGATTTGTAGATCTCAATTTGTTTCAGATTATCAATTCTGAAGCCATGAAAATATTTTCAGTTTTCGAGCGAAAAAAATATTACCATAAGAAAGAATCATATTTTTATCAAACCGATTTAAATGAAAAGTTTGGTAAAAATATAGACCGATCATTTGCAGTTATTTGCAATCAAAATTAATTTAGACCCCCATCGGTGTTCCTTAAAAAGCAATAATTCCAAAAGGGAACCATCAAAGAGGTAGAACCAATCTGTACCTTTCAAAGTCTTTTGCAGGAACATCTTAGGCAAAATCGTTGAAGCAAATGACAACATATTAAGAAATGACCAAACAGACTTTGGGAAAATCAGAGGTTGCCTATGGAACGCCAACACTGTCTTGTTATGGCCATTTTCATTATATGATGTGCATTTACCTTATATGATGTGCACTTGTCATTATATGATGTGCAAACACCTTTATATGATGTGCAAACATCCTTATATGATGTGCAAACATCCTTTTATGATGTGCAAACATCATTATATGATGTGCAAACATCATTATATGATGTGCAAACATACTTATATGATGTGCATATATACTTATATGATGTGCATATATACTTATATGATGTGCTTATATACTTATATGATGTGCAAATATACTTATATGATGTGCAAATGTACTTATATGATGTGCGAATGTACTTATATGATGTGCAAACATTCTTATATGATGTACAAACATTCTTATATGATGTGCAAATGTACTTATATTATGTGCAAAGATCCGTATATGATGTGCAAATATACTTATATGATGTGCAGATATACTTATATGATGTGTACATATCATTATATGATGTGCAGTTACCATTATATTATGTGCAAATATCTTTATATGATGTGGTTGTGTCATTATATTATGTGCTTGTAATCTTATATGATGTGGTTTGGTTTACTTCATTATATGATGTCGAAACGTCATTATATGATGTGCTTTCATCGTCGTTATGGTCAATGAACATGATTACGATTAGAATGTTTACTGTCTACGTTATATCTGATTCCGATCTGCTTCTGTAAACTATAAACCCAGCTCAAATATGTGTCTATCGCTAGCGAGAGTGCAATTAATAGGAAACATGAGACAATGCAATTCAACAAAATCAACGTTTCAAACATTTCGGAGGGAGATTAAGATCAATTAATACAGGAGCTAATTGGAGAAATTTGCGGCTGTGGCGAAAATATGATAAAACAAATTTTGAGGCTCTTTATAGCTTGCTATTTGGGTTAAGCAAATGCTACGTATTGAAGGTCGTACTTTGACCTATGATTGTTTACTCTTACAAATTATGACTTGGATGGAGAGTTTTCTCATTGGCTCTCATACCACATCTTCTTATTTCTATTCATTGCAAAATGCACCATTGAACTCACAGTCAGTTTTAAAAATATTTCACAACAATAGCTATAAAATTATCTACTCGTGCATAATATGGCGAGATGGTTTGTTTTATAAAATGTTATTGAATAATATAAATGGTAAGATGTATAATGTAGTGTTACTCCTACAAAATCATACAAAGTCGGAAATATTTGTGATATGAGTTGACGTATACATGTAGTGTTTTGTACTTCCTTAATTTGTCTTTGAAACAATCTTTTTTCCACAGAAAAAGCCAAAATATCCAAGTTTGGAGACCGCATGCTTAGTCCACGTACTGCCCGCGAAATGCGAAATGGTCAGGTTGGGTAATGTTCACATATTTGTATATACAGATTGTTTATTTTCAACTTATTTTAATGGAGATTTTTTTTAATTGCTAATAAAATTCTGCAACTTGAGTATGACAACAGATTTGGAGTGGCGTCAACGGTTTCTGAGATACAGAGGGGTTGATTCCTGGTGAAGTGTTTTGGATTTTATTTTTCATCCGATTAGATGGGATTTTTTCATTGTGTACTCATTTTGATCCTTTTCGGTAATGTCAAAGGATTTTACGTAGTTCATACGGTTATTTAGTTAAAAGGAAAAAAAACCCACTGAAAATCACACTTTGCCACACTTTTTCAATTAGGGTATTTGATATTTTTATTTTCCAACAGAGATGAATGGGGTGATGCCCGTCTTTTGCATTATGTTCCTCGTTTTCGTCTCTTTAAAGAAAAAGAATTAAATGCATTAAACGTGTCCAAATCCTTACTGTGTCCACCTTATTACTGTGTCCACACTCTTTGTTTCAACACTTGCCCAATTGTTCCGCGCTTTCGCTGGCATCTTCTAGTAATTATAATTCGAAATACTTTGCTTGCTTGTGACAATGGTGTTCGACAAGGAGTAAACTTATCACCTTTTCTATTTTCTTTACTTTTGATTGACTAAAAAAATTCTTAGTGAGTAAAAATATTACAGGACTTAACAGAACTATACCAGAAGATCTGGAAAGAGAATTAGAAATATATCTTAAATTTTTTATACCTCCTGACTAAAGACTTTTGAAACCTCTCTCTCTTGTTTTGTATATATTGTAAAGTTATTATTGTTATCTCTGTACTGATGTCATACATTGACTTTATGAGAATAAAGATATAGATTTAGAGGCCATAATTATACCGGTATGGATGATTGATTGATTAATTTGTTGATTGATTTATATTTACCGCCACTTTCAACTTATTTCGTGGCGGTGAGTTTATATTGGTGGAGGAAGCCGAAGTTCCCAGAGAGACCACCCAACCTTCGTTTGGAAAACTGACAATTCTGGTCAATTAAGATAAGTAGTATGAAAAGGCCGATTCTGCCGCAATCGCATTTTCAAGGGGAAATCCTGCATAGGACCCCCAGCCCCGACGGCCAAATGCAAACGGACGGCATCCCTATTGAGCATAGGGTAAATACAAGAATGTCTTTCAGTTTAGCACAAAACCCAAACACCTTAGAAGGATGTAATCCTAGGGTAGAAACAAAATATGGCTTTCGTACAAAAGATGGAGGAACTCAGAAGTCCACAAATCGTAGACAACGATTTTATGAACGATAATGTTTTCGAGGAAAAGGCAAAGGATCAGAGCCTGGAAACCCTGAAATGGAAGGAACTCTCAACCGGTGTGATCTATAAAATCCTGGAAGTGGTGGAAGTAGATGGTAAGTTTGGAAAGAGTAAGATCCTCACCTTGAAAAACAGAGAAGGAGAAACGAATAGGGTGTGGGCCTGCAGTGGACTGAACAGAGAGACGGGACCCATGGTAGGAGCCTTCGTGAGAAGTACAGGCTTTAAAGTCAGCAAAAAGACCAAGCAGGAGTACTTCTCTTACGACCTTGTGAGAAATTAAGTCAAAAAAAAAAATAATGGGCCGGGTGGGGTACAAAAAAATTTTCCGATCCGACATTTCTGCCGGATTGGAAAAGTTTTTTTTTTATGCTTGAAACGGAGCACATCATGAAGTGAAGCGGAATGGAGCACATCGTGAAACGATGTGTGGAGTGAAGTGTAACGGAATGATGTGTGACGTTTTTTACGGCGCATGCGCATTTGATACGCACAAGATTTTAGTAATGCCCTTATTGTATAGCCAGTACGTCAATAGTCCTTTTTACGCGGGCTTTAAGACGTTATCGTTTTGCAGTGTTGCTAACTGCCTTTGTGACGTTGTTTTGTTTGGATTATACAGAAATGAACGAAGAAGACTGGAAGGTATTTTGTACAATCATGGATGATTTCAGAAACTACGTATGCAACGCTTATCCTAGCGATCAGGAATTGAACGAGTACTGGACAAAACTTGAGCGCTTTGCTGAGCAATCAGCGAAAATATCGAAATGTGAAAAAGAGAGGAAAAAAAATGCACAGAAACGAACGAAGCAGGAAGAAAGGGAAATGTTCAAACGAAAATTGATGGAAAGTTACCAAGAACAAGAAGATGATGATTTAACAGAATTACCGCCTGATTTGCGAAATGAAAAGGACTTTATCACTAGAATTAAAAATCTACAGAAGAAAATCGATCACACAAGACGAAATGTACTGTTCTATACGTTCGGACAAGGAGAAACTATTTTTGTTTTGAAACAAAAATTGAAGCTACATAAGGATGAGTTGTGTCCCTACTTCGCAAAGCACGAACTTGTGTATTCTGCTAGTTATATTTATAAACTGGTCAAATTTTACCAGATTGCTGATCTACATCAGAAAATATTGAAATGTAACTTACCAGTAAGAGACATTTTCAAACATCTCGACATGTTACATGAAATATGTATTGAACT